ATTTTTATTGTTGTTATATATATATATATAAAGAGAAGATCTAAAAACCTAACACAAAGGATCATGGATCAAAATTGCATTAGACTTCTTAAATGAAAAGGCAATGGAGAAATATGTTAAAAATTCTGAGAGAAATTTATTTCCAGCCTAGATTTTATACTCAGCCAAATGATCACTCAAATGTACAACTCAAATAAAGACATTTTCAGACATGTTAAAAACTGAGAAGTTTTACCTCCTGTCATGGATTGAATTGTGTCCCTCCAAAATATCTGTCAACTTGGCTAGGTCATGATTTCCAGTATTGTATGATTGTCTACCATTTTATCATCTGATGTGATTTCCCTATGTGTTGTAAATGCTATCATTGTGATATAATAAGACTGATTAGCGGCAGTTATATTAATGAGGTCTACAAGATTAGATAGTGTCTTAAGCCAATCTCTTTTGAGATATGAAAGAGACATGGGGACCTCGTATTACCAAGAAAGCAGTGCCGGGAGCAGAGTGCATCCTTTGGACCTGTGGTTCCTGTGCTGAGATGCTCCCAGACCAAGAGAAGACTGATGACAAGGACTTTCCTCCAGAGCCGACAAAGAAGAGAAAAGCTTCTCCTGGAGTTGACACCCTGAATTTGGACTTGTAGCCTACTGGACAGTGAGAGAATAAATTTCTCTTTGTTAAAGCCATCCACTTGTGGTATTTCTGTTATAGCAGCACTAGACAACTAAGACACCTCCTGTGCACCAGAAGCTCCTTGAAGATGTCCTTCAGCAAAACAAGAGAATAAATCAGGAAAGAGGAAGACGTATGATCCAAGAAACAGAGCCAACGTAAGAGAGACATGAAAAGAATCCCCAGGCTGACGGTGAAGGAAAGATCCCAGGACAATAGCTGGGAAACACGTCACTTCTCCCTTCCAGAGGTCAAGTTATTTCCCCTTCCCTCATACATAGGCTGGCATTCACCAATAGAATGCAATAGCAGTGATGCTGTCCCAGTTCCAACCCGACTGTTTAGTGGCCTGGAAGCTTCTGTCCCATCTTTTGGACCATGATCGCAAAAGTCCAAATAAAGTGGTGGAGAGAAAAGCCCAGTCAAAACCAGGTGCTCCACAAGTGCTAAAGCAGAAGCAACTTCTGTGGAGGAAAGTTTTCCCAAGTGAGTTTCATAGGATTTCCATAGGTTAAAAAGCAAACTTGACCTTACAAATAAAAACCACCAAGAACACAAGAAGGCAACCCCACTATGAAAGAGAGTTAGAAGAAACAAGAAACAATAGATATAGTCAGCACCCCTACCACCACCTGCCACAAAGACAGCAGATATTGAAAATGTCAGATACAAAATACAGAATGGCTATCTCCATAGAATGTTTACAAAAACAAAGAATGCAATTATAAGGATGAACATGTAACAGAAAACCATCAGAATCATACAGACAAATTGGGGGAAAATGGAACTTACATAAATGCAAAACATAACATTGAAATAAAAACTTAATTATTTCTCAGAGAAAGTTAGAAAGGAACTCATCATAAGCTCTTATACATTATTTACGGGAGTGTAAATTGGTAGAGCAATTTGGCATTCTTTTGTTAAGTTGAACATTCACATACTCTACCCACTTCTAGATACATAATTGAGAAACTTTAGTACATGTGTACCTGAAGACAAAAATATTTATAGCAAAACTGTTCATAATAGCAAAACTTTGGAAACAACCATCAAATGGGAAAATACATAATTACAGACAATATATACACATAATGGAATATCATACAACAGTAACAATGAATGAATTACATAGCTACCTGCCACAAATAGATGAACCTTAGAAGTAGTGTTGAGTCAAAAATTCAAGCCCCAGAAGACTGTATCTTTTTATAAAGTTCAAAACAAATAAAATAGAATAACTAAATAACACAATATTTAGATATACACATATGTGTTAACACTTAATTGTTAAAAAGGCGAGAAAAAGATAAACACTAAAAAATAACACATTTATCTATGAGGAAAAGGCAGATGGTAGGGGAATATATAGGCACCTATGATATCATTGCAGCATTTAATTCCATTATGCATGGGGTTGCCATGAGTTGTAGGTTGACTCAATGGCAGCTATTTATTATTTTTTAGTTCTTGAGTTGTACAGTGTGTTAATGAAAGTTCATTATATTTATAAACAAATAAATAGGAAATATTTTAAGGAGTCTTAAAATGTGTTTTTAAATCCATTAATTTGCTATTTCACAAAGACATAACCAAAACAAAAATGAAACCAAGACAATATCAATTAAAAATGAGAAAATATATCAGAATGATTCAAATAAAAACAAAGCACAAATTGGAATATTAATGCAAGACCATATAGTGTTTAAGGTAAAATGCATTAGATTAAAGATTACTAACATATCAGTAAAACGTATTTAATAGTGAAGGAATAATAGTAGTGAGCCTTTATGAGCCAAATAACACAGCATCAAAATATATGCTGCCAGACTTTTAGGAAAAGATGGTGGAGTATGGCTTGATCACAACTCCCTTCCCCAATATCTAATAAAAGGAAAAAAATAATTTTAAAATGATGGGAGAGGAGAGCATTGTAATTCCAACAGCGGCTCCCCAAGAAAGGAAGTAGGCCCAACCTAATACCATTAACTCTAGAAAGTAACAGCCAAGGAGGATGAGAGAAGAAAGGAATAATCTGAACACATGTAGTATAATATGGCAGAACTCCTAAAATCATTTACAAAATCATGAGCCTCTAAATCCAGAGAGGATGGAACCAAGCATGTCACCTTGTCTTTTCCTGCTTCTGACTAGAAGTTAGTGAAAATGGTTTCTGGATAGAGACTGGTAAAGAAGGGAATGTGAACTATGACAGAAGTGAAGTTTCTCAGACTCCAAATAGAATTGTCTACCAAACTTATCTAAAGTTAATGATAATCATTGGTGGGTGGTGGAATTTGGGGTAATATTTTGTTGTCTTTATACTTGCCTGCATTGTTTGAACTCTTTAAAATAAGCATGTATAATTTTACAGACATAAGCCAGTGTGTGTAAAGAGAGAGAGACAGAGAGAAAAAATGATAATACCATAACAACAACAACAGCTTATATGTTGAGTGCTTACTATTTGTCAGGCACTATTTCTAAGTCCTTTACTTGTATTAGGGTGAATCCTATGAAACTGCTGATATTTGAATGTCCTTGATCTACAAAAAAGCAATTTCATTTACTCCTTTAATGCTTGAACAACCCTAGAGATGGAGATGGAGATGAAGAGCCAAAGTTGCTAGAGATGGAAAGAGAAATCGAAGTGCCAGCCTTCTCTGCAGGGTCCCCCATGCCCCTATCCCAGTCCTCTGGCCTTGCTCTCACCCTCCAGGTCAGGGTGCACACACATCTGTCCCAAGATGCCTTAAGAGGGGGCATCAACCATCATTCCAAGAGCTGAGTGGGAAGGTAGGTGTAAGAATGGCATGGGGGCAGTGTCTGATCTCCTCTAAGTTTACAAGGGGGAAGGAGATTCAAGATCATTGGCCCAAGGCTGATTCCTATTAGGCGGAGGTCAGACATGCCTCCTCTCTCTGCCATCTTTACCAATTCTGACACCAACTGTTTCTCCCACGGCACTCTCTTCTTCTCTGCTGGGTTTGATAATTTATTGCAATGGCTACATAGAACTCACTGACAATACTCACAATTATGGGGTTTATTAGGGAAGTAACAGGTTACACCTACAATTCAGGTTCAGGATACAGTTCTTCCATCAGGACAGCCTCTTCCCAGCCATGCTTGCAGGCATGCCTCTCTGGCCCTCAGCCTTTGCCGTGCTTGGGCAAGTGTTACAAAGCTGTTTTAGCTCTGCTGATAAGTGCCCAGAGGCACCCTACTCTGCCAGCAATCCTCCTGCCTAAAGGCACTCGGCTTTCTTGTTCTGTGGGCCAGGAAGCCCACAACGCTGTCTCCTGCTGTCATTTCTCTGCCACCATTTCTCTCTCTCTCTCTCTCTCCTGGTTCCAGGAGTTTTTCAGCACAGGGACCCCAGGTCCAGAAGATGCAGTCTCTGCTCCTGGCTGTTCTTTTTGGTGGTGGGGTCCTCTCCTTCTGACCTCTGGAATGGCTCATTTCAAGCCCAGCAGGATGGTGAAACTGACCAAAGCACCTGGTGGGCCGCAATTACCCTATTTGCACCGTCCCACCCAATCACTTGGGTGGGAGTTACAAGACCATGGCAAGAAAGACCGCACAAAAGGATCCATCGCATCGCAATTGGACATGTGGCCGTGCTCTAACTCAGTTTATCCTCTGCATGAAGCCCTCTCAGGTTTTAGACAGTCCCCCAGAAATGAGAGCCAGAAGAACAGCTTCAGCGCATGAACGATTCCCAGTCAAGTCCCCTTCCGTTTTACCCACACCCCACCTCCAGGCACTGAAGCAGGACACACTCAACAGTTTCATGTTTATTTTCAGAAAGTGATGAAGACAAAAGAAATACATCAAGACACCACTCTCTGTACAATAAATAGCCTCCCCATTCCAAAAAATAAAAAAGAAAAGAAAAAAGCGCGCATACACACACAACAAACAAGACCTTGCTTCTTGAGATGTGCACCATCCCCCGCTTCCCAGCCCCTTCCTCTGAACCCCACTCCTCAGAGATGGTGGGGCCCAGGCCAGCTGCCCCAAGTCACCTGAGTCCTCTCCCTGCCCCTGGTGGGCGAACTGTTATAAAATCCATGAACATTTATTTTCAGATCGGAGATTAACACACATGCAAACAACAATTCTGAAAGTTACTTTACAAAGGAAGAGAGCTGAATGTCCAGCCCCTAGCCTTCTCCCACCTGACCCACTCATCCTGCCAGAAGGAAGGAAGCTCCCCTGGGTCCAAGACCTTCTTCTTTGTGTTCTGTTCTCCAGGTGGGAACCAAAAGCCAGCAGCAGCACCAGGTAAATGACTGTAGTTAGGGCAGAGAAAGGAGCAGGGACACTCCTCTCAGTTCATTGTGGGCCAGGAAGCAGCAATGAACCCCAGAATCCTTCTTGGTCCCTCTCTTCCCCAACCAACTACTAAATGGAGACGGGACAGAGGGAGCCGGGGGCTTCTCAGTCCTGAGACTGTTTCTAAGTTAGTTGGTGTCCTCCAACCTAGTAACACTGTTTCTGTTCCTTTCACCACATCGCCTGCTCAGTTGGGAAAATAGTTATAAAACTGGCCTTCAGCTTCCTTATCAAAAGGAGAAGGGGCCCCAGCAGGGGAGGAGCTGTCACCACTGGAAGGGTAGGGGGACACACGCCTCCTCTTAGAGTCTCCTTCTCCCAGTCCCGAGTCACTGGATTCTGGCCGAATGGAGGTGATCTCAGTCCACACTGATGGGGAGCCCTGGTTCTCTGGCCCTCGGCCCTCTGAGGTACCAGGGCCAGGCTCCATAGGCAGAGTCCGCATGGGGCAGAACCAGCTGGCTGGGCCCATTTTGGGGGGGTATTGGGGAGCTACGGGCCAGGTAGCGCCAGGCGCCAGGACCTCCTGGCCTCGATAGTAAGCTAAGTTGGGCCCGGGGCCGGAGGGCAGGAATGCAGGCTTCATGCTGACTGCTCGGAACTCGGCTTCATAGCTGTGGTCCCGGGGAGCCCCCAGCCAGTATGGCTGGGGAACCACGTCCTTGGCCTGGCCAGGAAGGTCGGGGTAGAAACGGCTGGGGACAGGATACTGGTTGGGTAGGTGAGGAGAGTAGTGGTCTCCCCCATGTAACTGACAGTTGGGTCCAGGCGGGGAGGGGACGCTGGTGTCAACAGATGTGTACATGCTAGAGAAACAGGAGGCAAGAAAATGCGGGTCACAGGAGAGCCAGCCCCTTATGGGCCTACCTGTTGCACGTCCCTTCCCTGGCCTGCCTGCCCTCCAGCACCCGCCTCAACCCTGTCCCACCCTTAGGCGCAGGGAGAGGACATGATGAGACTGGAGGTACAGCAGGGACACAGCCAGAGGAGCACATAACCGGGGTCCCCACTCTCAGGAGGGACCAAGAGGGGGCCCTCTGCAAAGGTGCATTGAACCCAGTGGTACTTACGACTCAAAGTTCTCCCGGAATCCTTTGGCAAAAGGGTTATTATCAATTTTCAGCTGAGTAATCTGGGGAGGGGGGAAAGAGAGTCACCTGATTCCTGAGTCTGGGGCTAGGGACTTCCAAAATCCCTCCCAAGAAAGCCTGCGGCCCCCTTTCGTCCCCCGCTCCAGGCTCAGGCCCACGTGCCCTGGGAAGCCCTCACCTCAGCGTTCTGGTAGGCGGTCACAGCGATAAACTGGGTTTCTTGGAAAGTAAAGATATGGGTGTTGGACGCACTGCAGGCCGCCTCCGGCTCACTGTCATTTATCTCGACGATGTGCAGCCGGGGCTGGTACTTGTGGAGCGACTGGAGCACAATCATCTGAAAGCAGAGCAAAATGGCGGGGTATGTGTGGGGTGGTGTGCAGGCATTGCTCACATCTGTTCTCCCTACTGCAGGCTGGAAAGCTTCCTGAGGCATCTCATCCATCCCCCTGCCCTGCCACTATGTGAGTTCTCCTGCGCCTTCCAACTCCAGAATCTCCAGCCTCGTTGGGGCACCAATTCTAGTCTCTCGCCCCATTTTCTCTTCCCAGATGTCCACTGTGAGCAGGGTATTAGCACAAACAGGACTTTTTAGGGATAAGGGCACTTTTAACAGGATTATTCAATCTGGAGCCCTCTGTAGACATTCTCCGGGACCACCGGGGCCAACTAACTCTATGCCCATCACAGTGCGTGAGTCTTCACAGCCCAGGATGCTGTGATGAAATCCCCAGGCTGGCTTGGCCTGTGTCTGCCTAAATGTGACCACTGCCCGAGGGTCATCTGTCTCCCTGAGGTTCAGCTTCCTCCCACCTTATCTTTCTTCCAAGGTGGGCAGAAAAGAACCAAAGATTTCAGAGAGGAAGAGAAGTATCTCTTACAGATCAGAAGAACAGAAGCAGGACCCCCTGTGGTCTCAGGGCCTCAGACACAGGAGGGCTGGGCTACCTCCTGGGAACGGGCCCGTGGTGGCAGATCATACCTGGGTCACATTGTTGGAGGCCCCCTTGTTGTTTGTGAGCTTTAGTTTCCCGAATGAAACTTCCTGACGCATCCAGTGGGCTCCAGTGTTCGGGGAATCCGGGTGGACGTACAGGCGGTTTCCTGCGGACAGTTAGCCTCTTTGGCATACAGCCCCCAGGACCAGATCCCTGGTGATGTGGGGCTTTGTCTTTCCTCGATGTTCTGAGGGGATGTCAAGAAGGATGCAGGGGAAGGACCAGAAGGGGCAGGACAGGCGATAGGTGTGGGCAGAAGATAGGTGTTGTGGGTTGAATTGCAACCCTCCAAAAAATACGTTGGAAGTCCTAACCTCCTGTACCTGTGAATGTGGACTTATTTGGAAATAAGGTCTTTGCAGATGTAATCAAGGTGAGATGAGGTCATACTGGATTAGGGTGGGGCTTAATCCAATGGCTGGTATCTTCATAAGAGGAAGAGAGATACAGAGACACACAGACGCTCAGGGGAGAAGGCCATGTGATGACACAGGCAGAGAGTGGAGTGATGCATCTACAAGCCAATGAACACCAAGGACTGCCAGGAGCCACCAGAGGCTAGAAAGAGGCAAGTAAGGAGCCTCCCCTAGAGCTTTGGGAGCATGGCCCTGCCTAAACCTTGATTTCAGATTTCTAGCCTCCACAACCGTGAGACAATGAATTTCTGTTGTTTTAAGCCATCCCAGTTTGTGCTAATTTGCTACAGCAGCCCTAAAAAACTAATACAACAATCTAGAGCAAAGCGGAAAAGAGACAGCAAACACAACAGAAGCAGGAGGTGGGATGGAGTGGTGGGATGGCTCTGGGTGGAATGGGGAATTAAATCTCAGGTATCAGGGGCTGGGGCTGGGGGGGGGTTGTGCCTCCTGGATCCACTAGAGGGCGCCCCAGTCTTGAAAAACAGAGTGCCCACACCACTCCCAAGAACGCACATACCTGGCATGCTGCCCTCTGCCTTTCCGCACTGCACCCACTTGCCACTCTGATACCGCCAGTGGTGCTGGTCCACCAAGACCACGTCAACGAACATGCGGTAATGGCTGGTGGGCTCCAGCCCAGCCACGGTAAATGACAGGAATGGGAACATCCTCCTGGAGAGAACAGAGAGACTCACCAATACCCGTCAGCTCCCAGCTCCACGGCCAGTAGTATGCTGGAGCTGGCTTCCATCCACTTATAAGAGCCAACCGTAAAATGTTGGAGCAGTTTGCAAGCCCGTTGTTAAACACAATAAAAATAATAAAAATAATAAAAAATTATTAAACCTACGATTAAATATATTAAAAACAACGGTAATAAATACTCAAAAGTCATCACGTCCCAATTATTTTACTGCATTTTACTATTAGCTATACTCTTGAGGTTATTTCTGTGTATTGAATCTGTATGGTGGTATTACGATATAAAGGTGAGCTACTGGGTATCTCTTCCCAACAATGTGTTCAGTGATACCACACTGGTAGCTTGAGGTCAGCCATGGTAGAAATATTTACACCATAGAAATCAGTAAACATTACAAATCAGGGCTTAAAATTTTTTTTTTTCTTTCAGAGGGCTGGTTGTTAAACATTTATTAACACAGTACTGTCTGGAACATTAGTTTGCTTCCTAAGAGAGACCAAAGCCACTAGCCAGCCCTCCACAGGCAGTTCCTAGTAGGACCTCACACCTCAGCCCCCAAGCCCTGGTCTGCCCTCAGTCCCCCATCCATCCTCTCCACTGTGGCTCTCACAGTGCTGACTCACACCAAGCCCCATGGCATCCACCCACAGACTCTCCCTTCCCCATCCTTCTGGTTCTGATGCCTGTGGCAAGGGCCTGTCCCAAGCCTGGGCCTTCAGAGAAGTCGCCAAAGTTCTGGGAGGACAGGGCACTTCCCATCCACCTGAAAGAGGGCTCTATTGGCACAGTCCTCATGCTCACAGATATGGGGTGGGATTCAGAATTAGCCCTCACTCTTGCACTAGTCCAGAGGAATGGACTAAGAGAAAGAAGCACTTCCATACCAAGACCATTTCCATCACTTCCACCATCACTAACCCCTTTATCACCATCATTACAACCACCACTGCACAATCACACCACCATCATCACTACAATCACCACTTCCACTATCACTACCACTATCATCACCATTACTGCAACCACCACCTCCACTGTCATCACCACCACCATCACTACAGCTACCACCTCTGCTATCATCATCACCACCACCATCACAATCACCACCAATGGCACCATCACTATCACTACAGTTATTACCTCCTCCAGCACCAGTACCATCATCAGGCCCAATGACTTAGTCTCTCTCTTCTAACCCAGGCAGGAAGAGCAGAGTTTCAGGATGGCAGAATCGAACCCTCTTCAGAATCACTTTTCATTCCCATCCATTTCTCCTCCTTTCCTCCTATGAGAAGCACTGTAGGATGGAAAGAAATGCGCTGGTCCCTGAGTCAGGAAACCTGGGGTAGGAGGAGTCAAGGGCCTGCTTATACTTTAGGGCAGATGTTGGTTCCCAGAGGGTCCTAGAACAACACCCCTGGCAACCTTGGGAAGGTGCCCGAGGAGGGTGCTGTTGCATTCCTGTCTTCCTCAGACTCTCCTGGGCTGAGAAAAGGAGCCTTAACTGGCCCAATGACCTTAGGCAAGTTAATTTCCAAACCAAACCTCAGTTTCTTCACCTGGAACTGGAGATAATAACTCCTGCCCATCTTTCTTCTGAAGCTTGTTAGGATGTGAAACTCAGCTCATCCTCCCTCCCATCCCACCTTCTCCCAACCTTCTCCCAGGCCCAGAGACCTGACTGAAGGTGAGACTTTGAGCAAGAGTGCAAAGCTCTGGTTCCAGGCCCTGGATCCCAGGGGTTGGCTGGGCCAGTTGACTTGAGAAATCGAAGGTTTAGGGCTAGGCCTTGAACAATGGGAGGCAAAAGAGCATTTCCAAGCCACTTCTACCACCAACTCGTTCTATGACCGTAGTCAGGTCACTCAACCATTTCCTATATTGTAACCAGTTCCTTTCCATATTTGAAAAAAATATAGGAATGGAAGGTAACATAACATTTACTGTGCCCTTACTTTACACCAGCCAATTCATCAAACCAGTCCTTTGAGATATGTTATTCCCAATTTTATACTTGAAGAAACTGATACTTAGAGAGGTTCAGTGACAGCTCCTTGGTAAGACAGCAGAGCTGGGGTCTTAGGCATGTAGAGCACATGCTGTGGTCTCTATCCCTCCATCCTGCTTTGATCTCTAGTAGAAGGAAACAGGAAGGTAGTGGTGGTTCAGTGGTAGAATTCTTGCCTTCCATGCAGGAGACCTAGGTTCGATTCCTGACCAATGCATTTCAAGCACACCCACCACCCGTCTGTCAATGGAGGCTTGCGTGTTGCTATGATGCTGAACAGGCTTGAATAGAGATTTCAGACTAAGACAGACTAGGAAGAAAGGCCTGGTGATCTACTTCCAAAAAATCGGCCAATGAAAACCCTATAGATCACAACGGTCTGATCCCATTGTGCACGGGGTGGCCATGAGTCAGGGCCAACAATACCAAAAAACAAACCAAAGTCGTTGCTGTCGAGTGGATTCCAACTCATAGAGACTCTATACGACATAGTAGAACTGCCCTATAGGGTTTTCAAGGAGTGGCAGATGGATTCAAACTGCAGATATTTTGGTTAAAAGCCGTAGCTCTTAACCACTGCGCCACCAGGGCTCCAGAGCTAACAACAACAGGGGGAAATGGAGGAGACACAGGAAGTCGACGGGGAAAAGGGAGAGGAGAACGGAGGTCTCAGTTTCACCCTAAAAGTCTAGAAGCCCCACCAGCTGGAATCCCAGAATAGCCCTGATTTACAAAACCCTTTGCTGGGAAGGAACAGAAAGTGGAGATGGGTATGGTACCAAACTAAGCCCCCCCGAAACAACCCACTGAGCAGCCATCATCCCATTCTCACAAGACAAAGTCCAAGATGGCAAATTCCTCATCTGCAGCACCTAAGGACCAAACTTCCTTGAGATGATTTCCAAGGTCATCACACCCATTCCCAACCCTTAACACCTGGACATGTGCCACGTCACCATCATTAAGTGCAAATTAAAATAACAAGGAGATCGTTTTTGTCATTCAACTGGAAAAATGTTTAAGAACTGGTAATATCTAATGCTGATGAAGAAGCCCGGGTAGCACAAGAAATCTGCGCTTGGCCGCCAACATAAACATTGGTGGTTTGAACACACCCCAGAGGCTCTGAGGAAGAAAATCTCCGGTGATCTGCTGCTGTAAAGATTGATGCTGTTGTTAGGTGCTGTCAAGTTGATTTTGACTCATAGCGACCCCATGTGACAAAATAAAACTGCCCCATAGGGTTTTCTAGGCTGTAGTCTTTACGGGAGCAGATTAGCCAGGTCTTGATCTTTTTCCCATAGAGACACTGGGTGGGTTCAAACCACCAGCCTTTAGGTTAGCAGCCGAGCGCTTAACTCTTGTGCCACCAGGGCTCCTTCTGTAAAGATTATAGTCAAGAAAACCCTATGGAGCAGTTCAACTCTGTCACACATGGGGTCACCATCAGTGGGGAAGGGAGGGGGGCGACTCAAAGGCAGCTAACACCAACATCAGTGCTAATGAGGCTGTGGGAAACGGGTCCTCTTATACACTACTGGTGGGGGTATAAATTGGTACCACCTTTTAGTAGGGTATTTTGGCAATGCTGTGTACCCATGCAAATGTGAAATATGCTTGGGCATTAAGGGATTTCCTCCTCCTACCAACCTCAGACCCACTTAATAGAAATCAGACGGCTACTGGCAAACGGCCAAACAAAAAGCAAAGCTGTTTTCACCTGCCCAGAGAGAAATGAAGCCAGACAGTCCTAACAGAAAGCAGGCTTAGGCTAAAAAAAAAAATTAAAACCTAAAAAGTTCTTAGAGTTGGGAACGTGAAGAAGAGAAAAAACACAGTAGCTACAAGGCCATCAAGGACCATGTGAGGCTGAAATGGCCGTTTAATCAACCCCTGCCATCACACACACATACACAAAAGCAAATTGAGCTATTTAACAACAGAGCTACTCCAAGTTATCTTAATTATAATAATCAACAAATCACACCCAGAAAAGTGGGGGTTGCCAGCAATTAATACACACCCACACACCCACGTACACAGAGAGAAGGGCCTCTCTCTTCCTCTACTGAGTATGTCTACCATCAGCTAGTATATACTCAACAGCACATTCACAACGCACAAAAACATCAACACAAGCGTGTGTTGGGCCCTAGCAGGCTGCCTAAATTCTGCACAAACACACAAGCTTATAGACACCAAAAGTCTCCAGTTGGGCCAAACAGTTGTTTCATCCTCAACTTCCCTCTCCCAGCCCTATCTGAGCTGCCTCAACTAGTCTTTGAACCCAGGAGCACCCCTCCCTATGCTCCCCACACCATTCTACCCATGGGGAGAGCGTGATTGCGTCACTTGTCCAACTGAAGGATAGGTTGAGGGTGGGTGGGAGAGGAAGGATCTGGGAGGGAGTGAGTCAGTCAGCCCAAGGCGAAAGGCTGCGGGGCTGTGGGTGGGCCTCGGGTGGAAGGATTTTTTGACAGGGAAGAAGGTCATGGGTGATGTGATGGTGACTGGCAGGTCACTGGAACCCACACAAGGACCGGCGAGCCTACCATGGCAGGAGGACAGAAAGGGAGCTTTTCTCCGAGCCCAGGTCCTCCTTTTCAGAAGCATGTACCAGGAGGAAATGGCCACTGACTTCTCAGATCACTGCAGCCCAAGCTAAGAAGATCCTGATTCAGGGCTGGTGGGGCTGAACTGAGGGTGGTGTATCCCCTGTCCCTCTCACCCCAACATGGGGTCCCTGAGGCCTGATCCCAGGGGCAGCATCAAAGGAGATGGAGAAGGGGTCTGTGCTCCCCCTTCCCACAGGCATCCTGGGGTGCCCGAAGTAGTCCCTCAGGGCAAATCAAAAAGTGTGAGGACTGTAAAACACAAACATGTTTGTGACACAGTCAGGGAACCTGGATGATATTTAGGGATTTCTGATGAATTTTTATCAAGTTTGATAATGATATTGTGTTTTTAAACACAATTTTTAAAAAGTCACTTTCAGAGATGTTTAGAGAAGTATTTAAGGATGAAACAATATACTATCTATGATTTACTTACTAATTAGTTATTATATTACTATACTTACTATATTACTAATATAGTTGCAGACAGAAGAAGTAGAAGTGGGTGAGAAAAAAGAAGAAACCAGACCGTACTATGTTGACAACTGTTGAAGCGGTGATGGGGACATGGAGGTATGCCACGTTTTTCTCTCCACATTTGTATGTTTGAAATTTTTCATAATAAAAACAAAATGTAAGTGTATGGATCCAAAAGGGAGACAACAAACCTTGTCTAGAGAGGATTATTCAGCAGGAACATCAAGGAAAGGAGGCTGTCATGGTTGGGCTGGTGATACACACTTAGACTCATGCCTCTGAAATACCTCCCTAAACAGCCCACAGACAGACAGGCAGCTGGCCCAGCCTGGCCAGATCCCTGCAGTTCTGGCTGACGCTCCTCTATCCCATCCCACAGGACAGGAGAGGCAAAGGCCTGGCTGTGAGGAGACCCCCGGCCAGGCCCCAGGATGGGAGGCCCGGATGAATGCCTTCAGATTACACCATAGAGTGGTGGGTTGGGGGGCCTGAATTCTGGTCTGCTGTGTGACCCTGTGCATACCACTCGATATCCTTACACCTCAGTGTTCTCAGCTATAAAATGGGTAGACTGCCTGTTCTACTCAACGCATAGTGAAATAATAGAAGTGAAAGCACTCTGAATGCATCAAGGCCTCTGGACAACATGGGTGGCTGTTTTTAGCTGGTGGCCATGAAGGGCAGGAGAAGGAGACCCGGGTAGATACCCTCTGGGTTCTGGGGCCAGCCCTGCCACCAATGGCTGTGCTGTGGAACCACAGAAGAGTCTCTTGCCTTCTCTGGGCCTGTTTCCCTGTCTGTGCGGGGAGAGGGTTGGATGGGATCTTCTGGGTCTTGACCAGTTCAAACACACTGGGACCAGAAGCCTGGGCTGTGCCTGGGTGCTCCCAGAGGGGGATTAGGGTTGGGGAGAGCAGATAAGAATTATCGGAAGGTTTTGGAGATGAAGGCTGAATCATAAAAGAAAATGGCAACTACCCTGGGTTCATCCCAGGAAAGAGGAAGAGCTCAGCAACTTAAAAAAAAATGTAGTTGGGGGACAGGTCCTTCAGTCCCAGGCTGCCCCACAGAAATCGTCTGGAGGGGAGATGCCCAGATTGAGTGCCAATCCCAGGCCCAGCACTGCCTCTTCCCTTTCCCTCCCCAGGCCCCACACTTGATATCCCCCCTCAGGCTCTCCAATCGCTCCCTGGCCTCAAACCCACCATCCTGGATCCACCACTGATGACACAGCCCCTCCATACAGAGGTCCTCGCTGGTCCCCTCCCCACATGAACCCCACACGGGCAGGGCCTACTCAGGGGGTTGCTTACTAAACAAATACCACACAAGTTGCAAGTTTCTCTTTCTTTCCCCATACATGAGGCCCTCTCCGGAAACAGATAAACCTTACCCCTCATGCACTGAGCTCAGGGGACCCTGAGCCATGGGGGCATGGGGCTCCCCCTCTCAACTTCCCCTAAACTAGACCTAGATCCAGGATTATGTGGACAGGGGTGTGGACCGGCTTTCAGAGGACAGGCCTTGAAGGATGTGGAGTGTGGGGCTGGTGGCCAGCTGGGACCCTTGGACTGTCTTCACCTGCTCAGGCCTGCGGGCATCTGTGCCTTACAGCAGGGGCCTGTGACTTGAATGGACCCATGCACCTCTCACTTTCTACCTCCCCCAACACACACACACACACACACACACACACACACCAGACATATGATCTCAAAGTATGACCGAAAAGGAAACTTGGCGACTGCGTCTCCATGTCACCAAATCCCAGTCTACTCTCCCCCTCAAAAAGCTGACAGGAGCACAACGGCGAAGGGGCTGAGGGGAGACTGACACAGGGAGCCTGCTAGATGAGGGGCCAGGTTATCACCCTACACACTGCAGACTCTGCCCTCCCCTCCATTTCCCCACAGGTAGGGGCTCAGAGGCATCCTGCCCTGTTAGACCCAGAATCCTGGTTCCTCCTTTGGCCCTCGGACCGCGGGGACCGCACTGGGCAGAGAGCTGCGAAGAGCGCACACCAATTCTGGATGAAGCCGAGGGACCCCTCCCCTAAACCAAGATGACTTCTCCTCGCGCCAGTTCTCCTCCTCCTCTCCAACTCCTCTTTTAAGTTCTCTGGCTGCTTGGAGGGCTGCCCTGGGGGAAACAACCCCCGGAGCGTCCCCTGTCCTTACAATAAAGCCCACCCCACCTCGGAAAACTTAAGACAAAACTCCGGGGAGCACGGAGACACTCGCAATATCTAGACAGAAAAAAAAGAGAAAAAGTCCTTGTTCCGAGCGGCCGAGGCTCCCCGCGCTCGGCGGCGTCCGGCCTTCGGGGCGCGCCCACTCACCGGCCTTGCTTGGTGATGATCATCTCCGTCTGGTGCTGGTTGAACTTGGACCACAACAGGTGGTTGTTGAGCGCGACGCGCAGCTTCCCGGACACCTCGAGGCCAGCGGGCAGCGCATAGTCCTCTCGTGGCGCAGGGTAGAGGCCGGCTCGCGGATCAGGGGCCGCGTAGCCGTCCCGGGGCTGGTAGCCCTCGGCGCCCGCGGGCGGCGGCGGGAAAGGATCGGTAGCGCCGGGGAAGCCAGCGGCTTGGGGCCGGGCCGGGTAAGCGTAGGTTCCCAGGAAGCGGCCGGGCGGAGCGGGCACCAGGGCGCCCCCGGGGTAGGGCGCCCCCAGGCTGCCGCCCCCGCGCCGGTCTGCCGCGTCCTGCGCCGCGGGCTCCGGGTAGAAGTAGCGGCTCTGCTGGTCGGCGCCTGGCGCCCGGCCCTCGTCGCTCGCCGGCATGGGCTCGGTGCCCGTCAGCATGTCTCCGCAGCTCGGCTCCACGATGCCCATCCGGGGAGGGCCGGGCACCTCCCCGCCGCCGTC